CTACCAACATATGGAGGCTTTAGCTCGAACTGGAATAACTGGTACTAAGTAGTAATCCAAAACTGCATAAATGATATTCCTTTCCCTGAAAAGTCTTCAGCATAGCTCTAGTAAGAGTTTAATTAGGCATTCTGATTCAGGGTAATGCAGATATTTGGATAAACATGAGGTAACTTCAACTGAGCAATAAAGCTAAACACAATCTTATGCTGTGCAGTAACTCACTTGCTGGACTTCACTGTTTCATGTAATAGTTTGTAATTCAGTTTACATAATTGTTCACCAAATGCTTGGTTATAAACAAACTTAAGCAGTCATTTGGCAATCAATATTTGCTTTATATGAATAGGTAACTAATTCTATAACAGCAGAAACCTCTTTCAGTCTAGTATGTGTCTGGCATTTAATAGCTTTAAAAGTACAATTTGTACATTCTTAATTTCTTGGTAAATTAAAGGGAGAAATAAGTATAATTACCCTATGAAACCGGCTTTATTTTTCAGCCTACTACTGTGATGCCTATATTAGCTTTCATATTGTAGAAGTAAACCACACTGCATTCAAGAGAATATCATCTTAATTGAAAAGTCTTGATCTATGAAGTCTGTTTGCCTGGCTGCCAAGGATTTGACATGGTTCAAAAGATTTTTTTTTTTTTTTGGCAATATTTTTCTCCAAGACTTGGGATTTCATTTTGTATGTTTGAGAAAACAAAAGTCATTACATGAGTTATTTGTTCAGCTGCTTGTAACCATTGATCTAAATGGGCTTTAGTAAACCTTTTTATCTTCCTGATGCATTAACTTCTTTGAGTTATTGTCTGTTGAGTTGGTTAAGCTGCAATGATACACAAATTGTTTTTGAATATTTGTATAAGTGCAACTATAACATTAGAAAGTATTGATAGTGAGATGTTGAGCAGATCTTGCTGTATTTCAAGTTTTGATTGATAGTAGAAGAAAAAGAGCAAGGGGCGTTTCAGGTTCCATTTTGTTTGCTCATATAATTTCATTCTGGAACTACAGTCAGAAGCATGTTTAAGAATATTGCTATCCTGAAACATTTGCTTAAAAACAACTCATGGAGAGATAAGTGACCTGTCATATTTTGTGGTATTATGACTCATTGAGTTGGGTTGTTTATTTTATTTTATTTTTTTTTCTCTTTCTCTTGTGTGTACTTTAATTACCAAGGGTTACAGTGATGTCTACTTTGCTCTTTACTTTTGAGTTGATGTTGTTTAAGGGTAGTATAGATGTAAATATCAAAGACAAAAGGCAATCCACAAACATAAGCTGTGGCTGTAACTCAAAAATGCTATAAATAAATTTCAAAGCCAGGAGGCAAAGCAATTTTAATTAAGTGTATTAATATGAAGTACCACATTTAAAATACAATGTCTTTCATAAACTGTGAGTTTTCAGAAAAAGCAGACATATAATATGTTGCTATAATGAGATTTTGATATTATCACATTGGTTATTTGAAGATATATGCCTGCTGTTAGAAGGAAAGGCTGCTGAGGATAGGAGGGCTCTGTTTGATTTGGAATAGGATCTTAAATGTAGGTGTCCCACATCTCTGGATGGTATTTTAGCTGCTGTGGTTAGAAGTAGACAGTTGCTGTGGCTGTTCATTTTTTCACGGAAAGCATACAGCTTTGAATATATACTTGGATAAATTTCATTGTCCATGGCTAGGGGCACTTGACTACATTATGGGGTCCAGATGCAACTGCTTTTTTCCAGCGTTGAGAAGCAGAATAATCTTGAGATGCCAACATTGCATAAAATTTCCCTGGCCTTTGTATGTTTCTTTCTATTCAGAAATTCAGTTCTCCTCATAACACTTCTATCTAGAAAACATTGCTTTTTCATTGGCATTTCTGATGGAGAACACAACAGTTCATAGCAAAACTTCTAACAAGCTGTAATCCTTACATTTTATGAGTTGTATATTAATATTATGTCCTGGATTTTAACATATTTTAGTCAATTAACAGGGTATCTATTTTGTTCTATTGGGCCAGCTGTTATTCTGTATTGTTACTTAAAAATGATAAAAAAAAGCATGAGAAATGCATCCTCTGTTGGACCATTCTACCTTACATTTTTCAAAGTCAGTAGTGACATTGCTACGTTACTATGCTCAAAAGTAGAGTATGCTAATAGTTCTGATAGTACTACTTCATCATTCAGATATGACAGTTTTTCTCTGAAAGCTGGACATGATTTACTGAAATCTCTGGTTTCTTGGGCTTCTCAACACCACTTGCCCAAGCTCTATGACAGCAAACATAATTTCTTCTTGGGATTTGTCAACAGAGTTTTTAAACATACATAAAATTAGTTGCTATCTAGCTGCTTTACATAAAATAAAACAATACTACATCCCTTTCTGAGTTTGGCAGTGATAAGAAAGGTAGTCTGTGCTCATGGGTAGGAGCAAACAGAACTTTTCCACCCTGGCAGCATAGGCCAAAAAAGAACTGACACAGTGTTTTTGAAGTTCATGAGCCAGAGTGTTAAACTTGCTAATATCTCTACACTTTTATTCACTGATCACTTCCAGAAATCAATTTAAAAAGAAGATAAGAAATTACTTGCAGCCTACACAGGCAGCAAACACCATATACACTATATAGAGCCATAAAGTTTTACAAGAAATTGAAGTTAGGAAAATACAAACACGCAAAATGCTTGAGTAGGAATTAGAAAACTCTTATAAAAGCTATACATAGTGAAAAGAGTAAGAAAATATTTTAGTTGAAATAGAGACCAAGAATATTTGCATAAATTTTCTCTAAGTGCTGCAGTTAATTTTGTTGCTAATTACAGCAGTAGAAAAGTAGAAGGTCTCATCAGACTTTGTAGGAGAATTTACTCAAAAAATCCTGGGGCCCTTAAACAGTGAGTTACAGTGACTTTAAATTGAGTCTCATTATTACAAGAACAATTCAGTTTTTTAACCCTAGTCCACCTCTTCTAATAAGTGTCTGGTGTCTGACAATTGAACCACTCACCATGATTATTAGAACATTATTTTCTGTCGGATGTTGCAAAAAATACAAAACAAAACAACGACAACAACAAAAAGCAGCCTTCTATCCTGTATGGTATTTTTAAGAATGTAATTTTCTGTTATACTGAGTATCAGTTGACATCTGAGGACATAACATTTTTAGTTCCCGTATTTCCTCAAAGAAATCCTCTCATTTTTAGGCACAGATGGTGTATTCTGAAGAATTTAAGAAACACTTCTGAAATTCCATGGATTTTGACACTTCAGTAGTTCTAAAGTATGTAAACAAAAGAAATATGTCAGAATCTTCCAAGAAACTTAGAAACATTTTTCTGTTGGTACTGATGTGTCATAGCTCTGCTATAGCTCTACAATGGTAACAAGGTCTCATCATTTTTAATGCCTCTTCCCAACTGCTGTTTTTGAAATTATAGGTCTGTTTTTCAGCCTACTTCTGAGGCATGATAAAAATATGATTTTGATACTTTGATGAGACAATAGAAAAGAGCAGCGTCTCATAGTTTTAGTCTAATGTTACAGTTTTAAAAAATAATGTGTCAGTATTTAGGTGCTGGATGCAGCATCTCCAAAGCTGCCCAATTGCCTGGGAACTTTCTTGTCCTTTTGGAGACTTTCCATACTTTTGGAAAATCCATACTTCTGAATCCATACTCCTTTCTGTGATTCTGATTAAACTTAAGTAACCTCTTTAGAAGCAAACAGCAGGGTTGGAAATGGGGATTTCAGTCTTAGCTGCACTAGCTTTATTGCTTTGGATGTCACAGAAATGTTATTTGTGTTAGAAGTACGTAGGCACACATTTAGCCTTTGCATCACCACTCCACTGAAACGGACTGTTATATACCCCAGTTTGTGTTAAATCAAATGCTAATTTCTGAAATCAGATCATTTCAAATAGAACCACTGATGGGCTTTTACACCTAATTTTGGCACAGCTCTTAGAGTTACTACTGTTGTGCGTAAAGATTTCAAATGCATTTCTAGATTGTGTATTTCTAAGTTGTGAGACACATAACTAATAATTTCCTGAATAGTTACTCTTGAATACTTTCACTAAAATTATGCACATAATTGTTTGAACAGTTTAGTACATTTGTTTTAATATTTATAAAGGTTGTGCCATTCCTTTCAGTTGACAGTATTCTGTTTTTTGATTCCCAAGAGTCTGTTCTTTTTTTTTAGAATCTACCCTGATAATAAGCACCTGGTATAAGGTTCTAATATAATTTCATTTTTAGAATGAAATGAGTGGGTGTTGAAAGGCTTTGTAAGGGATAAAACATCCATCTCATGTTTTAGCAATTCCTTCTTGGGCTGCTTTGGGATGTTGCAGCATGCTGGCTCTGGGTGACTGATTGCTCTTTGTGACTGCAGAATGAGGATCACAGTACTTGAATTTTTATTTGCTTTTATTTTGTAAAATTCCAGCTCCTAGAATTAGTTAATTACATGATATCCACTTTCATTTAATAAACAAATAAAGGACTGAATAAAGAGTCTCATCTCGTGCAAACTAATAAAAGCCTAAAATGCAAAGCAAATGTTAGCTAAAGGCTCAAAAGCAGAAGGTGCAAAGAACCCAAAAATATTTACAGATCTTTTAAAGAAAAAAACAGGCTGTGATTTTCTTAGCACCCTAATTCATACTTTGTGAGTAACTGAAGTTGGCAAGACAGTTGACTACTCAGAATATGTGCCCTCTATTTCTATTTTCACCTCCATGTTTGGTGCAAATGAAAACACGTGTCTGTTTTATCTTCTAATCAGCTTCTAACTGAATGGTAATGAAAAATACTTATGGGATTGTGGTATTTCAGAATTTGGCATTTCAGATTGCTTCATTTTAATAGTATTTGAATGGATTCCACCCTCCCCCCCCCCCCCCCCCTTTTTTTTTTTAAATCTAGAATACAATTAAATACAAACATAAATTTTCTTCCCATCTCTTTAAACACAGAGTGTATTTGTTCTGTCTCATGATAATTATATCTCATTTTAGTACAAAAGCAGTTCTTCAGCATGGGATCAGTCAAGAGGCTTCTCCAACATGTGCCCCCAGGAGAAAAGTGGCCAACAGTTTGTCTAATGGGTAGAAGTGAAACCCATCCAATAGCTTGGCAATGGCTGTACAAAGAAGAATTGAAGACATCAGCAAATGGGCATTTTTTGGAGAGGGAGAAATACTTCTAGTATTGCAGGAAAAGCCATCCAAGGACTCACCACTTCTGCAGAAATTTGACTGAGACCATAGACATTGCAAATAAATGGACTGCTTACAGATGGATGCAAATCCTTAAATAAATAAATAGAAATAAATCCTAAAGCAAAGCATTGCCCAGAGGGTTAAGTACGACAGCTCACATTCATATTGCCGTCTTAATCTTTATTCTGTGTTGCCTGCTCTCCCCTCACTCTGGATCACTTGCAACGCGCTGTGTCCCTATATCTTTTCCTTGGATTGAGGATGAGTATACTATTTTTGGACTTTTCTGTAAAAATGTGGAAGGAGAGATGTTCAAAGTAAACCCTGGTTCACTTCCCCCTCTCCCACCTACCCACTGCTGGTGGCAGTCTTCTCTCAGTGAAATGCAGCAGGATCACTGGTGGTCTGTCTGAGTGCTGGTGGGGGTGATCCACTCCCAGAGGAGCTGGGGAAAAAGAGCAGATCCCAGTGTCAACTTGCATATCAGCATCTGCTATGGAGTGAGGTCCGCTGAGGACAGAGAGGTTCCTTCTTCCTCCTTGAGATATAGAGAACTGGGGGAAATGAGCTTGGCTTGAGAAGAGGCAGAAACTCTGCTCAGCCTTGTCCAAAGCTGTGATGGTATTGCAGCACTCAGTGAATAACAGTACTTTATCTGGTATGCAGATTGTCAAAATTTCAAATAAAACAAACAATCTGATACCCTTACTTCTTCAGACTGGAAATCAATTAAAAGTTTTGACTTGTTTCTGAGAGAAAAAACTCTTCGATATGAAAACAAACAAACGAACAAACAAAAAAACATACAGAGAATACAAGGATACACATCACATACTATACTTTTAAAAGTGTATGTGATAACAGTGAAACAATTGTTTCTGAAAAAGTGTACCCTTTTCTTATGCTGAGATCAATAAATTACTGTTAACCTCAAGCACTCAAAAATCATGACTCAGGTCTTTAATAATACCATGAACTTCGAAGGATATATTATCTTAGCTTTCTGGTTTAGAGCCATCAGACTTCACGTTTTCAAGCTTTTCTCCAGAAGTAAAAGAATGATTTCTGTCTTGCTTTAGTTCCTAAATGAATTTACTTTAAAAAAGAAACAAACCATAGAGAAGTGTGAGAAAATAAAATCCTCTGCAGTATATTAAAGGACTGTAATTTTCTGTCTTTGATTTTTCAAAACTCAAACCTTGTTTCTGCTATAATATCCTATGTGAGTTAAAGCAGACATCTTTCTATTACAGCCTGCCCAGCCTCCTGTTGCCTGCCAACAGGGCATGTATATTGGTGCATTATTTAGAGCTAAAACTGTAAATCCAGTTTTCTGGCATCTAGAGGGGCTGTTCTGTGCTCTAGCCCAAACTAAGTGATTGTTTGGAAATTGGGCTCAAGCTTTTATGTCACATCTACCCTGGCTTTGTTAGGAGCCTGGTATTGGTTACAACTTTTCCTTACATCCTGAGTCCTGGGAGGCAAATTAATGGTGAGGATCTTCATGGGGAGAAGGCAAGAACAAAAGTTCTGACTTGAAAAACACAGCTGATGTATGTGGCAAAGACACAAAATACATGATATAATTGAAAGAAAACTTTTAAAAAATATCATATTTTTAAGTTATTTACTACATCATTACAACCTTTTTAAAATCCTAAACTTTTCATAGGTTTTACCAACTTCTATTTTTAAGAGAAAAGAATATTATTTATTGTTTAGAGGTTTTTTTTACTCGAGTCCTAGTGGGTAGGTTACTGTGTTTGCCTCTAACAGCCAAACCATTACAAACCACTGTAATGCTGTGTTAATTGTAAGTTTTGTTTTGTTTTGTTTTGTTTTGTTTTGTTTTTTTTTTTGTTTTTGTTTTTGTTTTTTTTTTTACATTTGAGATAGGTTTACGACCTATCTCAGTTTTAATTTTGCATATGACACAAAGCAAAATCAGTATTCCTTACTCATTTTTGATGGAGTTGGAGCATGGAATTGCTTCACACCCAGTGCAAAGTGAAGTGCTTGGCTGTTAGGTAAATGGACCTTCTGTCACCAAAACCACTTTCTAGTTACCCTTTCTTTATTCAGTCTCATAAACAATATCTGGTCCTATTTAGAATTTTATATTTAATTTTGCAAGGACTTATGACAACAATTTGTCACAATCTGTCAAATTCAGGCCACAGAAGAGCACTGTACAAATTTTGTCTTCAGGATGCTGTTTTTTTCAGAGTCTCTTTCTAGTTGAAATCAGCTGTGACTGGCATTATTTTAGATTTCAGTTTGGATCTCTTCTTTGCATTACTGAGGACTTGTGGGTCTGGATTATAACACGATACCAGCAATTACCATTTTGTTATTTTGAGGTTCATTTGTATCGAGACATCCCAACGACTGGGAGATATAAGATGGGGGAGAAGTGACTGGAATTATGCTATTTTTTTCCTATTTTTTAAAGATGAAGTGTTTCCCATATTTTAAGCTTCTAGTTTATGGAATACACTTTTAAAGGGGAAAATGTATCTTCTTATGACTAAGACTTTTTTTTTTTTTTTTTTTTTTTTTTTTTTTTTTTTTTTTACTTTTCAATATGTGAATCTGTGAATCCATGGATCTTACCAAAATTAGCATAATTTGTTTACCTCTTCATTATGTTGTTTACCATCTGTGGAGGCAGCATATCTACATATATTTATGCAACTAATACTTTAACAGCTTAGTAAATTCTGAAAATCAAATAAATCTGTACTTTATACTACGTGGAGGACAATACAGAAAAGGTTGGTATTGTTATGTCAAAACAGTACCAAGAATGGAGAGCCGAATGGCACAAGCGTTGACTGCCAAGGGCCATGATGCCATTAAGTGTCAGGGCTGATTCTTTTTGTCTGCTGAAGAACTCTAGGGAATTCAAATTGCTACCATTTTCTTCTTCCAAATGACAAAAAAATGTCAAATTTGAACATTTCTGAAATTCTATCTCCTTGTTCTAATAACAACACACTTGAAGTGTACACATTGTGCTTTCTAAGGAGTATTTGATATGGGAAACAAGAAGTCAGACAATAGTTTAATGTAGGAATATTCATGTATATTTTTAAGCAATTCAGCTTTGCAATTTAAATAACTTCTATCTAGCCATCCATCCATTTGTTGTTGTTGTTAATTAAACACTGCTGAGACTACCAGCCAAATGCTTTTGCCATATTTTGGGATTCATAATTAAAAGATTGTCTTTGCCATAAACACAGACCTATTTTTGCTTCTTAATTATTCTCTTCATGAGGAAACGTTTATTTCAAATGAAGTATGCCCAATATGGATCCAAAATGAAAATGAAAATATTAAGAAAATCACTTATTACTATTAATGTTTCACTGAATCACCTAAAATGCTATTTATTCATTTGCTGTGTAATGTATAGATGTTAATATTTCTGTCACTCAGCAGTCACATCCAGTGTGAATTTTATGCATGAACAATGACTGAATGCAAGCACTGACAGCCAGATAGATGTCTGAACTGTACATAACAGCAATAATTTATCTAATCAGAGTTGATGTTTTAAATGTCTGCTTCACAAATTGCTGCTGTAGTACAGCTGCCACTTTCAATAATCAGAGCCTGTTTCACAGCACAAAAGTGGACTGATAAATGAAGGAAACAAGTGTCTACTTTGAAGCAATTAATTTAGGAATTACTAAATTGCATGTATTTGCTCCTCTGTATTAACAACATTTTTAGCCTAACTATTAAGAGTGATGCCATGACTTGTTTTGCCAGTGAGTAAGAATTCATTCCTCTCAATCCAGTTAAGGCATGAACACTAAGCATATGACAAGTTTTTAGTATAGTTAACCATGTTACACTACTTGATTACTAACTGTAATCAATGCTCTTCTACCAGTGTGGAAATTTCCAGGCTTGTCCCTGGTAACATTAAATGTTTCCACTTCTGTCTGGCAGTGGAATAAGAATTTTGAGCATGGTATCTAATTAAAATCTGTGTGCTCTTTGATATGAAACAGATCAAAGTTAAATTTTGTATTCTTAACACCTAGTTTTTCTTCTCTTACTGAATATACTCTTCTACTGTCTGAAACTATTTTGCAGAAGTCCAGCACACTGTTACCATCTCTGTTTGAAGGTTGGTTTTGTTTATTTAGCTGTTTTTTCTAAGTCAGTGGAAGACTCTTTGATAGGCTCTGTGGAATGGATAACATGTATGCACTGGTATTTATATGCAAATAGAGTATGAAAGTGGATAAAACATATCTTCAGCTAATATAAACCAGCAGTAAAACATGAAAGTTCAAGTGATTAATAACTGCTCTGACTGTTGTCTGGTAGGTTTTACATAGGAAAACTCATGCACACTGATGAACAGCCTTTTCCATTTAGAACTTCACTGGACTGCCACAACTTCTCAGATAGGCTTGCAACTATATCCACCAGGACTCGTGGATGCACCTCATCAGGTCCCATGGACTTGTGCACCTTTCAGTTCCCAAAGGCAGGAATTACATGCCTTAGGATGTAAGTGACTCTGACCTTTAATATGCCCACATTGCTTTTTTCCCTTGTTTTGCTGTAGGAGATGCAAAAAGCTAGTGGGATTTCCTGTGGTTGAGGAAACTTGTTTAGCCATGATCAAAAATGAATCTAAATATTGATTTCTTTTTAATTTAAATACTGGTGTCTGGTTCTGTTTGACTGTTCAAGACAAAGCTCAGGCTGATCAAATCCTATCAGACTGTATTGTTCATTGGTGAGAGAATAATACTGTTTAAGGTTTACTGATGAAGAGGAAAAACAGTCTTGACTGTCTGTCAATGTTGTGATGGATATGTTAATCGTCAGCAAGTTTAGCTGCTTGCAAGCATTTTACCTATACAGCTGCTACCTCGTAAAACTAAAGAGTTGCAAAGTCACCAGTAGCAGCAGTAGTCAGGAGCCAGAAAGACGGGAAGGGAGCAGAAAGATGAGCCTGTGGTGATGTATTCTTAGCCTTATTTCCAACTTCAGATGCACAAGATCTTTGTTCAGTTAACTCTAACTATGGCAAATGACCTAGTTCAGTGCTGTGGATTCTGTTACAAATGATGCAAAGAGAATAAACAATTTTGAAGAGTTATTTAATTATAAGGTGGTAATTACATGGTAGCATATACCATGCTCAGATGATACATTGCTGCCAAACTGGTTGGAAGTGAGAGGCAAAAGCAGATTAAAGCTATGCAGTAGAAAATTGGTGCCTAGCCCTCCATGACTCCATCAGAGAAGAGCAACATCATTCTACAGATAAACAAACAAAACAAAAGTGTCTCATTTCCACCCATTGTGGTCTGTGTGAAAGTATACATATCCTGAAGACTCAGGGAGATGTTTTTTAAGACTTCTCTCCCACAGGAATCACTCTGTTTTTTTTTGGTTGGTTAGTTTCTTACTTCT